GGTTCGTCGGCTCAGGGATCCTGGGACAGTTTAAGCAAGTCCTTACGGGGATATATAGGGTTTAGGGCTTTAGGGTTTAGGGTTTTAGGTTTTAGGTTTTAGGGTTTAGGGTTTTAGGTTTTAGGTTTTGGGGTTTAGGGTTTTAGGGTTTGAGGGTTTAGGGTTTAGGGTTTTAGGGTTTAGGGTTTAGGGATCAGGGTTGAGAGCTATCATCTAAACTCTTTAAAGGGGCGGTTATACGGGATTTTACAAAGGGGGGGACTTTATATAGAGGATTACGACAGGGGTTATTAAAGGGGATACTATAGGAGTCAAGACTAGCTCCTGTGGGGAGGTGTGGGGTTTACGGTGTATGTGGAAATATACGGGTTTGTTTAGGGATAATGGAAAAGAACGTGGAAACTACCGGGCTGGGATCTTATACCCTCTCAAAGCGGAGAATACCATGGAAACGAAAAAAAGAAAAATGGACAACCACATGGACAACTGGAGTTGCATGGTAACCTCAAAGGATTAGGATTAGGATTTCTAGGTGTCGATCTAAAGGTTCTTTCTGGGAAATGGTCGGGTTGGAAGACAACGGGGCAAACATTCTCCATGAAGGTCAGCCTGGAAACAGGAATTCTGATCAACTACCCTATAGGGGGCAGGCAGCTATGTGTCCTTCTCAACATGGGGCCGTCCCTTGAACTACGTAGCAGATTCTGGAGGTGCATCTCAGCGAGAATCATCCAGTACCATGCTGGATAAGATGACACGAACTTAATGTGAGGTAAGGGCCTAAATACGAAGAATAATGGGGCCTTAGGGTACGTTATACGGGACTCCACTGGATGAAAAGGGCACGATGTTCCCCATACATCCCCTCCCCTAAGTAATGATTTATCATTGGGGCTACTTATGTTTAGGCGGGGTGGTGGGGTTGATGATAATTAGGAGGGACAATTCAGACTTCTGAAACATGCTCAAGGATTGGCCGAGAGATGAAGAGCCAACCTTTCAGGGGCTTTTGGATGCAGCGCGCGGCCTGTTCGATCTGGCAGAGGCGCACACGTTATCGTACCAAGATGGTGCCTGGGCCACATAAGCCCTGAGTTGGGATTTAGGGTTCAGGCTCACGGTTTAGCGTTTAAGGTTCAGGCTGGCAAAGATCATTGAAGACTCGAATCCGGAAGTGGGTCGTCGTTGGCTCGTTCTGCGAACAATAAAAAACTGTTCGTTGTTCGGCATCCTACGTCTTGGGACTCTAGAAGGAGCCAATCGTGACGAGCACCCATGTAGACCCCGCAATATATGCGCATAAATTCGGAAGAGATTTGCCATAGATGAGGGGCCCCCAAAATGAACCCCCGATATTTCAACTATAATCTTTATCATTTGGGCTCCCAAAAGGGTTCCCCAATTTCTGGAACCCCCTCTGATTGCTTGGAAGAGGTGAAGGCACCTCTGTGACGCTTACGCCAGAGAACCTGTCCGACGCTCTTTCCCTGGCCTCCGAAGACGGGATCTTGAGGCTAAGCCTCCTGAAAGAGGAGACACAGAGTCAGGACCGGCGGGATGTTAGCAACTTCCCTAAACCCTAAACCTCATACCCAAATCCTATACAGTCCCCGATACACACGGAATTCCTCATAGTGATTGCCAATCCCCCCTTTCAGAGGAGCCGGAGCAGGCACCGCAGCTGATGGCAGGAGAAGCACAGCCGCAAGCGCAGCCGCAGCCGCAGGAGCCCGCGACGCAAGGCCTTGCATCGGAGGCTGCGGCCTCTGCGCCCTCAGGCTGGTCCTGCTTCAAGCAGCAGGTGGTCAGCGATTTCCAAAGCAACTACCAGGACATGCAGGAAGCCTTCAAAGGAAGCAGGGAGCAGCATCCTGCTTTGCAAGTTTGTGGAAAAGTCGCCGGAGTCACTGCGGGCGTTTGCGCATCTGCGAGGTTGATCCCGCTGCATGGAACCAGATTGGCTGCTCACAGCGTGGCGGCCGCCGCTAAGATGCCGGTTGCGGAACAAACTCCCTTGCCAGTGCCTGAGGCACCTGCAGCCGAAGCAGGAAACGACGTTCAGCATTTCAAGCAGCAGGTCATTCAAGATTTCCAAGTTGGGCGCCAGGAGATTCAGACTGCCTTCGGGTATTTCACTGGCAATGCAGACGCCTCCGAGAGCTCTTCCTCTGAGCCTCCACGTATTGGAAGAGACGTGATCCCTGCAATTGCGTCCACCGCAGCTGGACTGTTTTGGAGGCTAGTTTATGTTTTGTTGAACAGACTACAGTACGAAGTAAAACAAGACAGCACTGTTTTGCTTTTATCCACTGGCTGATATGGGTTGCTGGCCAACCAAATCCAAACCTCTTCTAAACCCTCAACCCCAGAACTTAAGCCCCAAACCTCGATCCCTTAACCCCAAACCTACCCCTGGATCCCAAGCCTTAAGCCCTAGACCCCCCAAGAAACCTTAAACCCCTAAACCCCCTAAACCCCTAAACCCTAATCCCCTAACCCCTAAACCCCTAAATCCGAAACCCCTAAATCCTAAACCCCTGAACCCCTAAACCTTAATTCCTAACCCCTAAACCCTGGAAAAGAGGGGCTGCAAAAAACAAACAAACAAACAAACAAACAAACAAACACAAACAAACAAACAAACAAACACTAAACCCTTAAATCCTCAACCCAAGACTCAGGTTGCTGGCCTTACAGTGGCAAGCACCTTGGTGCCTTTGCGTGCTGCGAGGCTGGTGGTGGCCAGCCTTGCCTCCAAGAGGTACCTACACGGGTTTAGGGTTTAGGGGATAAGTGAGGTTTAGGGTGTAGGGTTTAGGGTTATATAGGGGATAATGGAAAATAAAATGGAAACTATTATACTGGGCTGTATTAGGGAAACTACTATAATGGGGTTATATAAGGTTTAGGGTTTTAAGGGGATATAGGTACCCATGGGGGTAATATTAGGGATATGGGATAATGAAGCAGAGAATGGAAACTACTATTTAGGGTTTAGGGGTTTAGGCTTTGGGGGCTTAGGGTTTAGGGGGGTTTAGGTTGTAGGTATTAGAGGTTGTAGGGTTTAGAGTTTTGGTTTTAGGGTTTAGAGTTTGGTTACAGAGGGATACACGGGGTTGTGTAGGGTCCCTTCGAAGGGGTTAAAGGGGCTATAGGAGGGTATGTAGGTTTATATGGGCACATATTAATCCAAATATATCAGCTTTTTGCTTGGGGTTTGCGGAAATTTAGAGTCCTTTTCTGGCGGTGCACATCTTATTTTTAGTTGACTGACATGGCCTCCCGAAAACAGGATGATATAGGATGATAGACAGGGAGTGGAAAAGAAAGCGAAACCTGCCATAGTACCATATCATGTAATTTTATCTTGCTGGTTGGTTGTCGGGTTATATGGCCCTTTCAAAGGATTACATAGGGTTATAATATAAATAAGGGTAGTGGGAAACTAGAAGCTGCTATATTATGCAGCTTCATCTCCCTGATCGGTAGGACCGGGGATTCCCTCACGACTTATGCGAGTTCGCAGGGCTTTAACTTGCGGGTTGGTAGTACTGGGATTTCCTTGCTGCCATTCAGGGTTAGGGGTTTATGGAGTGAGGGAATGAACAAGAGAGTAGGAATAACAGAATATTGGGTCCGTGCTCTCGAGTATGCCTCACTTCGATTATCTCGGGTTCTCCTAACCACCCCCAGTACCTCCTTGAGGTTCCCCCTTACTTAAGTCCTAAACAAGCGCCATTAAGGGAGAAGCGGCTCCTGGCCCAAGCCACCCAAAAAAGAAGCTGTTGGAGTTTCAACATCACTTTAAACAGTTCTCCCGTGCAAGTATTTAGAAAGATATTTGAACAGAACATGGAAAATATGACATTCTATTGCAGCATCACGTTCTTTACGGTCATGATGCACACGCAAAGCAAGCAAGCTATAAGACCCTTAGGGTGCGGAGCTTTGGAAGACTGAGCTCAGAGCCAGGCTACAATTCACTCGATAGTCCCCTGCACGCACCTTGTTTGATAACACTCCTGTTTTGCAAAAATGCAGGAGCCCGAATATTTACGACTTTAGGGGTATAATAGACCCCTGAGCTCTAGTCTAGTTGATCATTTGGCTCCTACATAACAGTTTCATGATACACGGTACATAGCTCACGTGTCCACTGGAGTCTCCGTTGTTACCCTGTAACCCTTAAACACTACATTTGGACATATCTTTTCCCATACACCACTAAACCATATCTGCATAGAAATATATATATATATACATATCTCTATGTCCCCCTATACACCTACGTTTCCCTTTACATATCCCGTTATACCCTCAACTACGTTATATCCTTGTAATGCAACCCCTAAACCCCTAAACCCTACAGCCCCCCTTTAGTAGATAGAATATGGCCTCAGCTATATCATAATAAGATCCCCATATACCCCATATTCTATCTACTCGAGGGCCACTATAAACCACTAAACCCCTAAACTCTACAGCCCCCCTTTAAGTAGATAGAATATGAATATGGCTTCGGCTATATTGTAATAAGATCCCCAATATACCCCATATTCTATCTACTTGATGGTGACTATAAACCACTCAACCCCTAAACCCTAACCCCTTAACCCTATAAACCCTAAACCCTAACCCCTAAACTCTTAAGGCCGTGTCGCTAGCGGCAGACATCAAAAGTCCGAGGGAGGGTAAAAAAAAAAAAAACCTTAAGGCGTGGCCCAGGTCAGAAGAGCCTCAGGCCGAGGTTCCAGTGGAGTTTCAGGGAGAGCGACAAGCTGAGCCAGGCGGGACGCTGCACGTAGAGAGCTTTGGAAGTTGAGGGTCGAAATGGGTGGTTGTCAAAATTATGGTCCCTTTTTGGGGTATCCTATTATAATACGGCACCTATTATTTAGGGTACCCAAAAAGGGATCAGAATTTTGACGACCACCTATATCTAGGGCTTCAGAGTTGAGGGTTTAGGGGTTTAGGTGTTTAGCGCTTAGGAGATGAGGGTTTAGGGTTTAGGGTAATTGTGGAGAATCACATTGAAAAGACCGCGGAACATGAAATGGACACCGGAACTATGCAGTGGTTAAAAGGAATGGCTTCTGAGTATTTTTGAGAAGAGGGATGGAGCCATTTTGAGTTATACTAGGGGCTTTATGGCGCTTATCAGCATGGCCACCGTTTGATGGTTACGGTTTCTATCGATGTTGCAATGGCTATTTTTTTGGAGCATTTGAATGTGTGTAGTTCTCACAGTGGTAGTTCTTCGGATGAAGTTGATGATTGTCATTATCATGATGATCATTGTCATGAGGGACTTCGAACAGTTTTGGGTTCGGGGTGTAATTACGACTTGGGGTGCAGGTTTTAGTCTTGAGGGTTGTGAGCTTAGAGTTTCGGGTGCTGCGTGCAGGGTTGATAAATTTTGGTTTAGTTATGAGTTCCCTAACGCGCCTCTATACTACCCGTTACTACCCCCTCCCCCTCGATGAGCCCTAAATGAGCTGTAGTCAGGGATGACATTAACGCGTGTGGTTAGGGAGTACTCCAGTTTAGGGCGCCTTGGTCATAGAGCGGCGCGGCGGACCCAATTGGAACCCTCAGAAGGCTGCTGCAAGCTTATTTATCCCCTATAAAAGCCCGAATAATTATGAATACCAGTATAGTACCGCTGCAGAGGTTCTGCCAGAGGAATAATTATTCACAAATTCTATGGTTGTTCATCTTGTGACATATTCTATTGTTGTTCATCTTGTGCTTTTTGTCATGGTGATTTTTACGGTGAATAATTTCGAGCTTACTTCGTATAAGTATTTTTTGCGGGTGTTGTGATGAACTTGACATGGCGCCTCCTCATTCCTCTGCTGACCCTACAGGCGGGCAGATTCTTGTTGTACCCTAAGCCCCAAACCCCATACCCATGCAATCTTTCAAGCTAGAATCCTTAAATCCTGCGAAACACCTTCCCATCTCACTAAGAGACCCGCTAAGCTTACGACCACGTTGAGAACTCCCACCTTTGGTTTTCCATTTTTACGGTGCCTTGAGGTAACGAGACGCTCCAGGCCCAGTAGATCTGAGCATGGGCTGCTCTTTTACCTGGATGTGCTTACGTAAGGCGTAAGGAGGAGTGAGGGAGGGGACATTAGTACTGTTATAGGGGTATCTAAGTATCTACAGGACTTATGATTGGGATCCACTCCGCTTTCGCAGCTGTAAGGTCAGAGTCTTGTTTCATCCGCGGCCGCTACAGTGGGTCAAAGGTCAGAAACGCCTGGCACGGAAACCTGACAGGCTGGAGTTCTTCCTGATTTTGCAAGAAGGGATCCCCCCGACAAAAGTCGTGTGGTCCAGGCTTCCGTGACAGGAGTCATCGAGTTGTGCCTCCATCGGTAGCTTGTACAGGCTACTGGGGCTCATTTTGCAAGTACAGTGCTCGAAGCAGATTCCTCGGTGACATCCACTGATGAGAGGTCAGTGGCAGCACCCAGGGACAAAGATGCGCAACTTGTGCATGTAAGCCGTGGCTTTCTCATCATCACGCCTGAAGGGTTGACTGAGAAAAATGCGGATATAGGGTAATGGAAAAGAAAATGGAAACTACAGTGATTATAGGGGTTATATAAGGGTTCTATAGGGATCATACGGGTTATATAAGGGTTATATAGGGATTATAGGGTATATATGTGGATCATCTAAGGAATACCCTTGCCTAAGTAATGTATCCTGGAGGGGGGGTACCCTGCTTGAGATCCCAAGCACCCAGCCGGAAATGTATCCAGGGCGGGTCATTTCATAGTGGAAGTTGGTGTGTCGTGTGCGCATCTCATTGCGTGATGCCGCGTGGATCACAACCTTTTTGAAACTGTGGGCAGCCTGCTACGTGCTGCCATGCTCTTCGGGAGAATTGACCGTACAGGATCCTGACTGGTTGATGTGGTTCCATAACACAGAAAGTAATATAAGCAGAATCGAAAGCCATACTCAGGTTACGGGGGAGGAACACCCAGAAATGTATCCAGGCTGGGGGTAACCTTGTCAAGGCCTGCCACAATACATTAATTTCGCCCTTGCTTCCAGCCTGAGTGACTAGACATGAGAAAGCACTTGGATTTTGACCCATTCTATCCGCGGTTTTCCTAAGCGGGTTTCTGGGGTCAGGAAGACCCGGGAATGTATCCAGGGGGGGGAACCGGGTCCAGGCCCCTCACCATACATTATTTACGA